GCATAAGAACACAAGCTAAATTGCTTTTCTAGAAGTTTGCAAATGTTAATTGCATAAGACAGAGACAGCAATAGGCAGCGGAGCGCAGCAAACAGCAGCTACAGCTGCGCCTTGAACTTGAATTTGAGCAGTAGCAGCAGCAGCAGCAGCAGCAGCCGCTGCGACTGCGATGTGGCCTTCAAATGAAGTTCGGTACAGCGAGCAAATTGAAAATTAAATGCGCATAACAAACGCAAGTCTGCCGAGGAGAGCCAGCCATAGTGTCGAGAGAGAAAGAGAGAGGGTGTGAGGCGAGCGAGTAAGAGTGAGAGTCCGGAGAGCTTGTGCCATGCAGGCGCGTACAGCCAAACGGCTGCGTCAAAAAGCAACGACGCCGCTGCAACTGTCCTTGAACTTGGCAAACTTTTTTTTTTTCTTTCTTCTGTTTTTGCAGTTTTTGTTGTTTGGCCCAACGAAGGACAGCAGCACTTGCATGTGCATACATACACACACACACACTGAGTGGCAGAGAATCGGGCGAGCGCATGCAAAAGCAGAGTCCACCGTTTGCTTTATTAATGTGCAGCAGCAGCAGCGTTGACGTTGGCAGCGATGGCGACTGCAACGCCAGTGCATGCATACGGCTTCAAATGTGGCGCTGCCCATAGGCTTGCTCTCAAGTGTGTGTGTATGCATGTGGGTATCGATATAGTCTAAGAATTATTTAAAATGGCGGCCTTCAATGGAAATCAAGGATTTTATGAACAGTCAAGGTTAATAATTATTGGAAATACAGGTATACAAACTAAATAAATAATTTTATAAAATTACCAAAAACTATATATGTATGTATGTACATACAAATATGTATATAATATATAAAAATATTGTTAAGAGATAAGCATGAATATTTACTTTTAGAAAAGTAAACAATATTGTAGAATATTCGAATAAGTAGTACATAATGCATATACATACATGTATGTATGTATGTATGTATAAACTATATACGAGCTATTATTATGTAAGTATGTATGTATCATGTTTACAGCTTGTATAAGATTTCGCTATAAACAAGCTCGTACATGACTTCATTTTGAACATCATTAGATCTTGAAAGGGGAAGTTTTTTAATGTGACAAAACAGTTTTGTGCGCCGTTACTAAGCGACGAAAAAAATAAATAAATAGAAAATAAAGAACAACTCAGCGATTTCACAATTCTCAAAAAAAATAAATAATGAAAAAAACCTGACCACAGAGCACAAAAAAAAAAAAATACACAAACACTATGAATCAAGAGAATGACGGGGACAACAGCTCACACCATTTAGTCAGAATTGGCAATTAGAACAAAGAACTAAACATATAAACAGGCTGTCTGTCTGTAGGTGTAAGCTATACATATATAGACCGAGCAAATTAGATATAAATATATATGTATAAATAGGTAAATATATAAACAATACTTGAGCAAAATTGTTATCCAAGGTCAACAGAAAAAAAAATTTGGTTATATGTACATATTTATATATTATATCATGAAAATAAATAAAACATCGAGTGCGGATAGCAGCTATACATACATACATGTACATACGTATATAAAGATTGTTATATACAGATATCTTATTTATGTTTATATAGTATCATGGATAAACACAAAAAATCGAAAAGAACTTTCAAGAACGTTAAAAGTAACAAAAACAAACTAGCTAACGAGCACGTTATGAAAGACAATAATACTGCGCTAAAAATGCGACTAGAAGTTACCCTGTAGTATATCTTACTACAGTTATGAGACCACAGTTACTGTAATCGATTATTAGTTATCGATATATCTGTATACATGATATCTATAATTATTTCTGTAAATTTGCTTTGAAAACTAATATACCCTACATAAAGCCCTTCCAATATTCACAGGGTATTCTAAATATGGCGGATCGCGCCGGCCGGAGGGTAGCGTGAGCACACACACATACAGCACATACACACACATACGCATATACACAGACGTAAGCAAACGTAGCTTTTACGCATGTCTGCGAACCGGCTTTTTGTATTAGAATCATTTTTTAGCCCGAAATGTATCCGTCAGATACTGAACTGAATATTTTGCTGTGTGTGTGTGTGTGTGTGTGCGAGTATGTGAATGTTGCAATACAAAATATAATGGGGTAGGCAAAGGGTTGCCAAATGCTATGCCAATAAAGCGAAAAAAGACGATGAAGAAATTATAGCTCATTCCGAGTCTCATTCTCATTCATATGACCGAAACAAATGCCAAATTCTTGATAAGCGACAAGTTTATGAATTAACTGTAAAGCTCTTCAACTAATGGAATTTTGTGCGAAGTGATTGCAAGGGAAAAAGTCAAAGCAAAAAGTAAAAATAAAAATAAAAATAAAAATAAAAATATAAATAAACAGTTTTGACTGATAAGCCACAGTGAAATGGAATTTTTATGCTATTTATTTATATTTATTTGATTGGGGCATGAAATTTCGCTTTCAATGCTAACTAAACGAAGCGCAAAAAAGAAACATTTATTGGCTTGGCACTTGAGAAACGAGCGTTTTATCTCTTCCTCGGTCTCTGACTCTTCTGCTTCTTCTTCACGTTGTTGTTCTGTGTGTGCTTAAGAAATTTTCTTATGTGAGAGTCAATAGATATTATTATTATTATTTTTTTGCGATAACTTAAAGATGCTTCGATTTGCAATTCATAAAGAAAGTTGGAGTACCCGAATCGGAAGTAACCGACTATGAGCTACCCTGAATAGTAAATAGAACTGTTATGAGTTATGGGTAGTTCATTCTTGCATAACCTGAGTTATAGTTTAATTTTTTGTAACTACTTGTAGAGAATGCTATTTGACTAAAATATAGTTTCTATAAGGCATGTTCTATTCAGATTGTCAACTTGCGACCTGCTACGCCTCTTTCTATTTGCAAAGATCCTAACAAAACCATTATAGCTTAAATGCTCATTTTTAATGGGTACACAGGTATACAAGTAGCTAATTTGATAGCAATAGTGATAGGAAATTTGGTGTTTTCAGAAGTCATGAATAAGATACGATTTGGGATTCACCTGAAATGAGTAGTTGACAGATAAAGTCGTTAAAAGGAAATTAGCTTTAGTTGCGATATATAATTGAAAAAGTGCTAAATCGAAACAAATTATTGTAATTATATTAAATATATCGGTAAATTATGCAGTTAGCTATATAAATAATGCAATTCATGTCATATATGGTATATCAATAATGTCCGAATACACTTAGCTGAGCTGTGATATATATCACACATACATAAATATTTACTTATATGTATATATAGGAAATACATTTCATATCATATCGGACTTAAAAGAAATTTATAAATTCTGATATATGTATGCAAACATATACACAAAAGCAAACAGGGAAGTGAAATTGAAATAATCTGATTTGAATTAAAAATTCTTTTTCAATCTCTCTTTCTCCATCTCTCTGTCTCGTTATCTCTTGCTCTCTCTTGCGATTGGTAATCTCTCAATCAATTGTGGTTTTATGAGCACGACGCTTCGACGTTTCCATTCATAAAACGCAGCTTAGCAGAAGCATGAAGAGATACATTCAAATAGCGCATCGATAAGCAAATGCTGGCCAAAAGCGCTGATAACAACAGGTGTGCCTGGTGGAACGTGAATGAACGCAGCTAGCCCAGCGCAGCAAGCTTGAAATGCTGAAAGCAACTCAAGCACCTACGTAAATCAACTGTCACATCGGTTACCCGTCGATAGCGATAACACGATAACAGCAACAGCAACAGCAACTGGCAAATTTGGTACTTTAGTTCGACCTGAGTTGCTTTTTTTTTTTTTATAACTGAACAGTTAGACGTTGTATGCTAGGCCGCATCGATACAATTTCCTGTGCACATAAATACCCCAAATATCAATTTCCAAGATTATTTTGGCATTTCGAATCGTTGTTGACGCTATTACTGACCTTCAGGCACAAAATTAGCAAATAGATAAAATACAAAAATACTTTAACAATAACAAAAATTAGATAGATTCACGGGACTCTTTTTTTATCGCTATAAAAATTGCATAAGTACAAAGTGAGCAATAAATGTTTTATTGTCCACAGAATGTAAAAAGGTTTATCAGAGGGTTAAAAGTGCTTTTAAAATTGTTAAGATTAAAATTCAAGTTTATAAATATATTAAGAACATATTTATATATTTTTGATTTGAATTATTTGTGAATCTACTACAAGCAATT